CCAGTGCCTAACAGTCCCTTGGTACATAGTATTTTGGGTGAACTCTATTAACTGAGTGAAATAATAAGATAATAGTGCACACAAACACAGAGGCTAAATTTAGCAAGATCTCAATAAAAGGTACATATTATTATTAACAACATAGTATTGGTGCTGAGTTTATTCACCTTGAGAAAACTAATATCGTTAGAGGAGCAACAAATTAGAGGTAGGTATTGTGAATCTAGCTCTGTATCTCATTTTTTATATATAATCCTTGGCCAAATCTTTATTCTTCTCACTTTTCCACTATTAAAATGGACATAAAATATTCACCCTGGTGTCCAACTTAACTTGGTTCTTATTTGAGTCCCGGTTAGGGCACATGCCTGGGTTGCCGGCTCAATCCCCAGTAGGGAGTGTGCAGGAGGCAGCCAGTCAATGATTCTCTCTCATCATTGATGTTTCTATCTCTCTCTCTATCTCCCTTCTTCACTCTGAAATAAATAAAAATTATTTTTAAAAATAAAATAAAATCTGCCCTTTGCCAGACCACACCCGATAGGCTCTCCCGTGTATGCCCAGAGTTTCTAGATATAGATCCTATGCTGCCCCAGAACTCCTCTGCTTTCTCAGCTGCTAATGTTGACTCCTGACCCTTCTCCATTCTGATCCCATCTAGCTCCTCAGTGTTTTATACCAACTGGCTATCTCCTAGCTTTCAGCTCTGAACCACACTTGTCCTCACAATAAAGTCCAAAATCCTTAAGTGCTGACTGGATCATCTTCTTCCCACCTTTTTCTTGCTCACTGTGCTCCAGCCACCAGGCTTTTCTGAAGTTACCTGATGGCACTAATCTTCCTGATTTAGGGCCTTTGGACCCATCAGCCTCTGCTTGGAGCACCGTTTCCCCTACGCAACCTTCACGTCTCAGCTTCTTCGGGGAGCATTACTTGGCTCTCTTGACAGAAATTAGTTTTCCCTGTTATATGCCATCCTTCCTCCAGATCTGGTTTGGTACATTATCAGAGCTTCACATTTTATTCTATTTTTAAAAAACCCTCACCCCAGGATACGTTTTTTTCCCCATTTAAAAAAATTTATTGTCTAAAGTTTTACATATGTCTCCTTTTTCCCCGGCTTGACCTCCCCACAACCAAGCCATTCCCACCACGGGCAAGCCCCCACCACCCCAGTGTCTGTGTCCATTGGTTATGCTAATATGCAAGGATATGTTTATTGATTTTAGAGAGAGGGAGGGAAAGACAGAGGGAAAAAAGGAGGAGAAGAAGGGGAGTGAGAGAGAGAGAGATATTGATGTGAGAGAGAAATATCTGTTGCCTCCTATACTAGCACCAATCAGGGACAAAACCTGAAACCTAGGTATGTGCCCTGACCGGGAATTGAACTCATGGCCTTTCGGTGTATGGGACAACGCTCCAACCGAGCCACACGGGCAGGGCAGAACTTCACATTTTAAAAGAGAAGTTAAGAATCTGGACTAAATGTGAAATTTCTGTTTTAAATGATGGCAGGTAATTTAAAGTGTGCAAATATTGAGGGCTGAACCAAAATATCTGTAGGTTAGCGACCGCCTGTGGCCTGCCTGTTTGCAACCTGAGTTGTCCAACCTTTGGCTATACTTGGAAACTATTGTTGTGTTAATCGTCACTCCACTTGTTAACTGTCCACTCCATGCCAGGCACTGTGCTTGGTGCTTTACACGGATGATTTCACGTAACATCCAAAACCACCCCTGAGGTGAGGTAAGGTTCAGAGAGGTTAAGACACTTGCTCCAAGTTACAAGCCTTAAGTGGTGGAGTTAGATGCTACAGGCCTTTCCAATGGACTACTGTGCATCAAGGTACAGTCTCTCGGTTTACAATGACCAAGGTTTCTCAAGTTCTGCCTAAAAACAGCTACTATTTCTTGTGTTTTCACCATGCGGCAGGCATTGTGCTAAACACTTTACATGATCTGATTCAATCTTCCCAACATACCAAGGAGCTACTGTTATCATCCTCATTTTATAGGTCAGGAAACAGGTATAGAGCAGGTTATCTGATTTACCCAAGGTAAAAACAGGATTCAAACCTAGACAATCTGATGCCACAGTTGCCACTCTTAGGAGCCCCTCTTTACCAATTTGGGTTTGAGCTAAAGGGGAAAAGGGAAAATTTTATAAATCACTCTTACTCCAATCCAGAGTCCCCCAGAGGACTCAATTCTGAGAGGGATTCTGCCCCTTCCCTCGGCTAGTTCCATGAACCTGTTATTGAGAGATGTGGCCTTCGGGTGGCAGCAACACCACGTCTCTAAATTCTGCAATGTTCAGCTATCGTGAGGAAGCTTTATAGCAGTCAGATTCACTCATTTGCATGTTGTTCTCTGATTGGCCCAACTAATTCTTTACCAATTAATTGGACTTGGTTCTTAGCCCAGTAAGAACTGCTAGGCTTGTAGAGCCATTGACAGCTGTGACAGAAGAGAGCTCAAAGGATTGGAAACTATGGTGAAGTGTTCCAGTCCAACAATCATCCTGATGATTTTCAACTATGCTGGTTGGAACTGTGTTTCAGTAGTCCCCCAACACTTTTTTGAGCTTTTAGTTTAAAAAAAAAATCCCCTAGTTTGCTGTTGTTTTTAAGGTACGGTAAGATATACATTTAAGGAAAAATTCAATAGCACAAAAGTGTACACAGTGTAAAGCTAGTCTCTATATCATGCTTATCCCAAGTCACACAATTTTCCCACCCCAGAGGAAAGCTTGTGTATCCTTCAAGGTATAGATCAAGAATATAAAAGTAGCCGAAACCGGTTTGGCTCAGTGGATAGAGCGTCGGCCTGCGGACTGAAAGGTCCCAGGTTCGATTCCGGTCAAGGGCATGTACCTTGGTTGCGGGCATATCCCCAGTAGGAGATGTGCAGGAGGCAGCTGATCGATGTTTCTCTCTCATCGATGTTTCTAACTCTCTATCTCTCTCCCTTCCTCTCTGTAAGAAATCAATAAAATATATTTTAAAAAAAAGCATATGCAGAAATCCTAAAGAAATAAATGATAACCTAAAACTAAACTTCTATAAGAAAATATAGGGGGAGGCTTCTTTGGGTCTGAGCCTGGACCACCCCTCCCTCAGAAGACTGTTGCAGTCAGCCAGCCCCTGCTCCACTATAACCATGTGTGACCAAAAGGCAGTGATCAAAAATGCTGATATGTAGGAGGAGATGCAACAGGACTCCGTGGAATGTGCTACTCAAGCACTGAAGAAGTATAACACAGAGAAGGACACTGTGGCCCATATTAAGAAGGAATCTGACAAGAAGTACAACCCCACCTGGCACTGCATTGTGGGAAGGAACTTCGGTAGTTATGTGACACAAACACTTCATCTACTTCTATCTGGGCCAAGTGGCCATTCTTCTGTTTAAATCTGATTAAAAGCATGGATAGTACCCACACACCCAGTGATCCACCCAAAAATAAGATTGCAGCCTTAACTCTAAATACCAGAGACTGAAGTCTTCAGCCTTGCCTAAAGGAACACCTTGATCTTAAACCTTTTATTGTGTTAGTGGGTTTTTTTTAAGTGGTTTTTTATTGATTTTGGAGAGAGAAGGAGAGGGAGAGAAACATCAGATGCCTCCTGCATGTCCCCTACTAGAGATTGAGTGCACAATCCAGACATGTGCCCTGACCTGGACAGAACTGTGACCTACTGGTTCATGGGTTGACCCTCAACCACTGAGCAATACCAGTTGGGCCCAAAGCATCTTAACAGAATGTTTATGTAATCTTTTGAGTGGCAAACTGAGGGATAAACAGAATTATGATTTATCCAAATGTAGCTCAGCTAGGGTGTTGTCTAAATGGAGGTTCCAAAAGAAAACGAAAAATTTGAGTAACCTACTGTTTTTAGCAAGCCAAACGCTCTCCAGTGTATTAAAAACTCTGTAAGCCCTGGCCAGTGTGGCTTAGTTGGTTAGACATTGTCCTGTGCACCGATAGGTCGCTGATACGATTCCCAGTCAGGGCACATACCCAGGTTGCAGGTTTGAGTATAGGAGGCAATCGATTGATGTTTCTCTCTCACAGGGAAGCGACCCATAGTGCCCTAACCCATGGAATTGAACCAGTGAGCTCTTGGTGCACGGGACAAATGAGCCACACCAGCCAGGGCATTTATTGTGTTGTTTTGTACAGGGCATTCTCTGTACTCATTTGTTGTGGTTATAAAACAATTAGCCAAAAAAAAAAAAAAAAAGATGGGAGGAAATTTTTGTGATCTTGAGTTAAGGAAAGATTTCTTAGCTACGACATGATTCACAAGAGAAAAAAAGACAAACTGAACTTAGTTAAAACTTTAAAACTCTGCTCTGTGAAAGATGATACGACAAACCACAGACTGGAAGAAAACATCTGCAAATCACTTATCTAATAAAGGTCTCATACCTAGAATGTAAAAAGAATTCTCACAACTCATTACTAATAAGAAAACAACCCTGTAAATGAATGGGCACAAGACTAATACAGATACTTCACTAAAGAAAATATATAGATGGCAAATCAGCACATGAAAAGAAGCTGAATATCCTTAGTTATTAAGGAAATGTTGGTTTTATGGAGGTACTACTACACACATATTGGAATGGCTAAAAACAATATTTTCAAAATCTGACAATATCAAATGCTGATAAGCACACAGAGCAACTGGAGCTTTCATTATTGCTATGAAAATTCTAAATGGTGTAGCCATTTTGGAAAAAAATTTGGGTTTTTAAATATAAAATTACATGTACACTTACCATACAATTCAGCAATCGCACTCCTAAGTGTTTACCTAAGAGAAATAAAAACTTACGTTTATACAAAAATCTATACACAAATGTTTACAGTCAACAAAAACTATAAACAATTCCAATGTCCTAAACTAGTGAATGAAGAAACAAATTATGATACATCCATACAATGAAATACTACTCAGCAATAAAAAGGAACAAACTACTGATACATGCAACAACATGGATGAATTCCACATGCATTATTCTAAGTGAAAGTAGTCAGACTCAAAAAGCTATACTTTTCCCTTCCATTTGTATGACTTTCTGGGGAAAAACAAACTACAGGAACAGAAAACAGATCAGTGGATGCCATGGTTGGGGGAGAGGTTGACTATAAAATATAGCATGAGGGAGTATTTGGAGTAAATGGATAATTTAAATTATAATGGTGGTAGTTACACAAGTGTATGCATTTGCCTCATAGAACTGAACACCAAAAAGAATGAAATTCACTGTGTGTAAAAAAACAACTGTTTAAAAACAAAAACCCTATACTCCCCCTCCACCACCACTACTACTATTGTGAAAGCTACTGATTTCAGGTTGGCATAACAGATGTGGGTGATATAAATACATTACCATTTTTCCTTATTTAAAAAAAGGTAGCATATTTTGTACATTGCTCTGCTCCATGCTTTCTTTAAATAGAGAACTATTTCAATCATATAGAAAAATAGATGTTTTTATAACAAACACCTAAGCACCTTTCACCAAAGTTATCAAATCTTCACATTTTGCCTTATTTTCTTACAATTCTTTTGAAGAAATAAAATATCAGAGCTATGTTTTAAGCCCCAATGTATCCCTCCTTTCACCCACTCCTTTTCCTCTCTCCTCAGAATTGTATTGTCCTGTGTATGTGTGGTGCTCGCTTCGGCAGCACATATACTAAAATTAGAATGATACAGAGATGATTACCATGGCCCCCTGCGCAAGGATGACATGCAAATTCGTGAAGCGTTCCATATTTAAAAAAAAAACACGAAAAACTATGTATGTATGAACCCTTAAATAGTATATAGTGTTGTCTGTCATATTTAAAAATTTTATATACATGGTATCAAGCTGTATATAACCTTCTGCAACTTAACATTTTGTTTTATCCATGTGGATACCTGTAGCTTTGGTTTATTCACTTTAATTGTTTTGTAGTATTTTATATTATGAATATATCACAATTGATTTGCCCACTCTATTATTATTATTATTAAATTTATTTTATTATTTATCTGTTTTGTGTGTGTTTTTTAAATCCTCACTCGGGTATTTATTTTTTAAAATAAATATTTTTCCATTGGTTTTTAGAGAGAGGGGAAGAGAGAGGGAAAGACAGAGGGAAATATCGATGTAAGAGAAACATCGATTGGTTGCCTCCTGCACTCTCTCTGGAGCCTGCAACCAAGGTATGTGCCCTTGACCGGAATCGAACCCGGGACCCTTCAGTCCGCAGGCCAGTGCTCTATCCACTGAGCCAAACTGGCTAGGGCTCTATCATTATTATTATTATTATTATTATTATCTGCAAATAGTGCTACAATGAACATCCTTATACCTGTAGCCTGTGTCTATGTTCTTTGTTGAAAATTTGGAAGCTTAAACAAAAAAAGATGAAAACGAATATTATCCTCCATAACAGTTATCGTTTATTAAGCATTTAACATGTATCAGGTATAGTGTTGGCCACTTCATGTGCATTAATTTAATTCTCACACCAATCTATATATTAGGTACTATTATGTTTGCTATTGTACAAGGAGAAAACTGAATCCTAACGGGTTTAAATAACTTAGCCAAGGGCACACAGACCGGAAGCGGCAGAACAGGTTTGTTGCCAAAGCCTCTGCTCTTAACATTATGCTCCCACAGAGCCCATGAGCCCTAAATCCAGAAATAATAATGATTAGAAATAGTCTTTACTGTTAGTTGGCCTCCCAGAAGACAAGAGAGGCCTGGTCCAGGCCACTTTCCATTTAATAAGTTATACTGAGAGCACAATATGCATGCAGAAAAGTATAGATCAGTATACAAAAGTATTTATATCCCAACTATGAGTTTCCACAAACTGAATATCTCCATGTGAATGAAAAAGGGGCTCTGCAGTAAATCTGAGAGTGACCTCACAGGATGGTCTGACCCTACGTTCCTAACGGGGCAGGTCAGGAAGGGTAGTCACCCTCAAGCCTGTCACCTCCCTAGTAAACGGTTACCTTTGCACGAAGCAAGTCCGGCCGTTGTTTTTGCGCATCAAGGTGAACACACTTTTGAAAAGCCTCTTTTCCGCACTCCTGGGAAGCACAACCACCTCCAAGAGCGCACCGGACCCCGGCACAGAGGTCAGCTGCTTAGCCATCCTCCGGATAACCCAACGTTGCGGGTTTGACTTCTGGGCAGGGCACACGCAAGAAGCAAGCAATGAACGCGTAAATAAGTGGAACTACTAATCGATGTTTTTCTTCTTTCCTCTCTTTGTCTAGAATCAATAAATGAAAGGGGGAAAAAAAGGGAGCGAGCACATACCCTCATTAACTATCCCCTAATCCAGTAGTAGAGGTTTTCCTGCCTTGCTTTCTCCTGGAGCCTGAAACTAGTGAGTTCTGGAGAGCGATGTTGGTGGCTTCCTCCAAGTGATGGTAGTGGAGACAATGGGAAGGAACTGAGATATTTGCGATGCGGAATAACTGGATTTAAAGGGCTGAAGGCATTAAGAATGAGCTTCTTCCTTATGCACAAAACTGAGGGAACTTGCTTCTAAATTTTTTTCACTTCAAATCGGCCGTGCATAGTTTTTGTCTTTTCTTTTGGGGAGATTATACTTGAAATTGGGCCTCACAGTTTTCTCAAACAGAACACTTACATCAGCTGCCACCTTAGGCACTGCCTGGAGCTCAGTCTATTGAACTCTGTCCTTCCAAGTCCATAGACCTTTGTCCCCCTCAATATCAGGAAAAGTGCCCAAATTCTTTTCCACGCGGGGCTCCAGTGGGCGGCGCATGCCCAGAGAGGCCGCGCGGGGCGACCGCCCGGAGAGCAAACAGCGAGCCGTTTCCGCCATTTTGTCGGCCCCAAGAAGAGCTGGCCGGGGGCTGGAGACTACAAGTTCCGTGAGCCCCCGCGGCGACACTTCCTACCCCCTCACTGTCCGGCCTGCTCCCTCTCTCCCCCCTCCCGGGGGCCGCAGGCTCTGGCTGCCGCTGGCGGCCGGTGGGCCAAGTAGGATTTCCGGGGGAAACTACTGTGGAGGCTGAGGAGGCGGCGGGGCGACCTCGGTGAGTTCAACGAGCAAGGAAAAGTGAGCGGGAAGTGCCCGGGGTCCGGCTGCGGCCGCTCCTTAGGCTCGGGTCGCGTTCTTGGTTCCGCCAGGGGGTCGCGGTCCTGGAAGGGACAGGGCTCGGGCCGCGGTCGCCGCGGGCGGCGGACGGGACGGGCTGGGGCCGCCGCCTCCTCCTGCGCCCTCCCTCCCACAACGGTCCGGCGGGACTGCTCCGCCTGCTGAGCGCCCCGCGCGGCTCTCCCTCTGCCCCAGGCGCCTTGGCGGGGCCCTTTTGTCTGGGCTGCTTGGCGTCCCTTTGTGCCTGTGCCTGGAGTTGCCTCCTCGGGAGACCCCCGGGACCAGGACCCTGATGGGTACACGACCCCTGCGAATCCGGTTACGGTAACCGGATCGGGGTCAAAGTCCATTTTTCAAACCGGCCCGACTTCAACCTCTGCATTCAGGCAGCTATAACAACATTCACTATAAACGTGAGGAGCTATAGAAATTCATGTGGAAATTTCAAACAATAATAATACGTACCGATCATCACG